TGTAGAGCACCTCATTACCTTCTGTGGTCCTTTTGTGTCAACCTTCAAGGTTGTTTGCCGTTTCATCCTTGAGGAAATCGAGCTTCGAACGTCGTCATTTTCTGCTAAACCATCAAGCTTTTCTTCCTATGGCGTTGTCTTCCTCTTTCTAGAAGGTTGCTTGGTTTCTTCAAGTCTTTCCAAGGCCGACCGTCAGGGAAGAGGGTTAGCCGTGTTGCTTTGTTTCTTAGGTTTTGACAACCTTTCGAAAACAGAGCTTTGGGGTATTGGCGTGTTAAGCCACTTGACAACCCATCAAAGATTTACATTCAAAGGGTGGGTTTAGGCTTCTCTTAATTTTGTTCAATGCTCATGCTGATGTGTTGAGCGCTAACGTTTTTCGCTTTGCTTGAAATCTTCACGGGTGTATTTGGTGTGGAGCCAAGTCCATCTTTGTTGTTGTCAACTTCGTAACCATGCTCCTTCAACTTCTTTTGAGTCTCGATGAGGTCACGTTCTTTGTAGTTGACGGTGTTTGCATTCTTCTTCCCAAGATTTGAAGAGGAGGCAAAATTCATACCCAGCCTTTGACATAAGTTTGTAGGCGTTTAGGTCGAAACTTTCTTCGGTCCTCTTGGTTGGAAGAGAGCTTGGTTCTGCCCCTTTTGGCAGGGGTTTTAGGAAACCTTGTGGTGGTTTTGAAGCTTTAGTGTTGCCTAGCTATGTCAGAAGTAAAACTGCATTTGTCTTGAGCAACTTTACATCGTCCTTGTGCAGCTGTGTGTCAACTTTGCTTGTTCTAGTTTTGAATGGGCATTGCCCATTCTTTCTTCTCGGCATTGGGATGTATCAAAAAATGGGTGTGTTTGGTCTTTTTGAGGGCGTCACACTCCCTTTGGTTGTAGCATATTAACACTAAGATTTGTCAATTGTAGCATATGAAAATAAGGGTCTTTCTCGCAGAAGATTGTTTTATCTAACTACTTATAATGTCACAAAAACTAGGTTGTTGTCCCTACTGACCAACCACCGAAAAATAATTATTAGACTAACTTACACTCGAAATTTTGCAAACACTAGACACACAGAGCTACCCTCACACAAATTTTTGGGATTTTTGGAGTTGATTTTCTATTTAAATTAAATCGAACAAAAACAGGACAGAAACAGATTTTAAGTAGTTCTCTAATTAAGAAAAACGAGTTAGGGTAATTGCTATCCACCACCAAATAATCATGCAAAAATGTTATGTTTCATTCAAATTCCTTTTGTTTCCGGATGAAGATGCTCAAGTTGGCTCAATGTTAGAACTCAACCTATTACTCTTTCTTATGTAGTATGTTAAGAGAATGACGTTTTCAACTTAACTCGGTCCCTAACATGCAATCTAGAATGGCGTGTTCATTGATTTAACAAGTAGAAATCATTAAGAACAAAAAGAGTTTGAGTCATCACAAGGCATCGTAAGTACTAGCTTTGTATTACTTATCCTAGAAATTGGTTCACATTTTAATAGCAATTAACAAATAGGGGTGGGTTCAAAAAACTGAAAACCGGACCGAACCGAAGCCGAAAAAAACCGAACAGAAAGATTCAAAACCAAATCGAACTGAACCGAATCTGGCCAGTTCGGTTTCAGTTTTTTAGGTCCAGAAACCGAACCAAAAAAAAAATCATATATAAATACTCAAAAACATGTTGCCATCAGGGTTTGAACCCCTGACCTGGAGGGAAAGAATAGTTGCTTCAAGCCAACTTGACTGTAGGCTTTGTTGTTATAATTGTACTAGTAATGCATTTATAGGTATTCTAATCTTTAATGTTTTATAAAATTTCTAAAGTTAACAAACCCTAGCCGTCATTCCCATTTCAATTTTCACTTTCTCAAACACTTTCTCTCTCCCCTCCGCTGCTTTCTTCCTCTATACTTCCTCACTCTCTCTCTCTCTCTCTTTCCTTCAAGTTTTACCATTAGAGGGTAAGAAGATTCATGAAAGTACTTCTTGGTTGCTTCAAATATATCCACCACTCCACCTGTTTCCAAAACAGTTTTCCTGGAAAAGACCCGACGAAAAGAGGAATTGTAAGAGCTTGTGACGATCATGGTGATATCGCTGTAGCAAAGGTTGTGGGTTTTATTTATTTTTCAGTTTATGGGTTTTTAATTTTATGGTTACCCATTTGAAATTTATGTAATTTAAGGTGGAAAAGTTTGTATTTTTTCTCTGAATATGTTTTGAAATTTTCTAGATCTATTGTGGACTTGACTTTGAATTTGAATGTGGGCACTGGGCATGCGATATTGGAGTCCGATTATGGCATTTAGACGAACCCATTTGCTTTGTTTATGTTTCGATCTGCATTGATCAGTTACTTTGTTGAATTATTTCATGATTATGCAAATTTTAAAGTTTTAGAATTTTCAATCTTAGCGATGTACATTTCCTTGAAGAATATATGTTTCTATAATTGCTTAAGTTTTGAAAATTTGAATTCCATCTGCTTGATCATAAGTAGTTGAATTACTTGAATATATTTAGGATTTTGAGGCTCTCAATTCTCTGATATATGAGAACTGGGAGGTTGACAGGTAGGTTCCTTCCATTTACATCATTTTTTGGAGAGAGAGAAAGAAAAAAAAAAAAAAAAAAAAAAAACCCCGAAAAAAATTGAAACCGAAAAAAAATCGAAAAAAAAATGAGCCGAACAGAAATTTTGATTCGATTTCGGTTTTGGCAAAAAACCGAACCCAGCCCTATTAACAAGTACTACTCTAGAACATATATAGGTCCTCATTTGACAAGGGCAAGCGCACACACATTCATAGCATTAGAATCCTAGATATGCTTACTAAGTATGCATCTGTAGAAAATACCTAAAGAATTCATCACTGACATAAGTAGTGAACCAATTTTCATCCATTCATAAAAGTAATTCAACGAAATGTTGTAACAAACTTGCAATCATATTCAGGGCTTCAAAACAGCCCTTAACTACTAAAAATTTAGTTACACATAAGTCTCAAACCAAAAAAAGACATGAGTTTGAGAAGATATAACCGAAAGAAGAGAATGCCAAGATTTCCTCCTTCCTTTATTGCTTCCCTCTTCCTCGTCCAACTTCTTGTTGCCTTGCTTTCTTCCCTCCCATTTTCGTCAATTGCACCTTTCCATTATTTTTTTCTTTTTTCTATTTTTTTTTCTCCCTTTTGCTGCTGCAACCTGCAACCTTTTTGTTCTTGCTTGCTGCCCCAGTTTCTTCTCCATAACTCACCCCACTAATAGCCATTTAGTGATGATAATATGTGAGAGGAAATGGTAAAACAATTGTAACTCTTTGGGTAGCCTTTATGCCAATTACTCCCACTTAATCCTCATCTTTAATTCCATTTCCTCTGATATTTGAATAGGTGTCAGCTGGCTTGTTCTTGGCTGCATCAGTGTTGGCTACTAGATTTATTGGGTTTATTGCTTTCATTGCAGTTACAAACTGTTCAGTCTCTTGTGAACCTTTTAGTGTTAAAATGGCCATAACTTCTTCTAGAAAAGCGATATTAGCAATCCGCGAAATGCTCCAGAAAATAGACATCCGTAGCTTTCCAAACATATAAGGCTCATTCTCTAATTCATTCTGAGCTGTTTGCAACTTGTTTACAAAGTCAGCTGATCTGCACAGGCAATTTTGACGACTTTGTTACTTAAAATCCCACTTATGCTATTTTTCTTTTCTTTGCTTGACAATCCTACAAAACATAAAAACAAAGTAAATAGCTAAAAAATATAAGGAACTAACTAAGAAGAGACAAGTGAATTTGATGTAAAATATATATAAATATGAGCTTATCAAAGGCACTATACTATTATAAGCATATTATTAAAATGCTAAACTTAGCTCTAATGCCAAATTCGAAGCAGATCGTTTAAATAGCCAAATGACCATTTTAACAATTAGACAAGAAACCTTGCACATGAAACTAGACATGCTTCAGGATGATGGTCACTCACAATGCATGTATAAAACCATAAAGGCTGAACTCAGAGGTACCCTGGTTAATGTCCAGCTATTTGTATAGCAAGCATTCAACTATAACAGAGTGCTCGAACAAAGTATGATCATTAGTTTAGCAAGTTAAAAATATAACAATAATAGTGTTTCCTTGTTTTGGACATGAAGTCTAATCAAACTAACACACTAAAGAAAGAATGAAAACTTACTCTCTTTTATTGATATATAAAGGATGAAATACAAGTTTACAAAGGATGTTTGCACGAAGGGTAGAAAGCTGGAGGTTGCTCTGTATGCTTGTGTTTGTCTGTGGAGATTGAGGTGTTTTGTATGTTTGGAGGAAAGCCTCCATTTGTACACAAATGGCTTTGATAGTTTACAAAATACCTTCACAGAAAATCTACAACATCTTACAAAACTTGTTTACAAAAAGCTGCAATTATTGTAGTGGTTGTGCAAGTGGATGACACTTGACTTTTTTTCCTTCACATGGTGCTACATTTCTTGCTTTGTTATGGACCGTATGGATCATCAAGTTTAGTATTAATGAAACAATTACTACAAATATGGAGGATATAAATTGTAGTCAACCCAAATAATAATAAAACACACCACAGAGTACAGCCGGAACGGCGTAGGTTTACATCGTCGCCACCACTTTATTTTTGTTTTTGGTCAAATCGCCAGCACTTGATTCAGTTGATTGCTTTCACAAGTTTCCCGTAGCTGTAGAGCTCCCATGTGAGCACCGACATCGCCAGCTGCACTCAATCACAAGCGCCCCCTCCAACGTTCTTTCCTGTGCACCCGTTCCCACAATATCTCCTTGCACCCTCCCACAAATCCCCCAATCTGACCCAACCGCAATGACCGAAAACCCACACCTCACCACGTGGCATCCATTAATTCGCTTACATAACGGTGCACCGCCCTAAGCACGTAGGCGAAAGCCGCGTTTACGCGGTTTGGGCAATCAATTTTTCCGCTTATTACTCAAACTTTTTCCCCACCGGCATCATCTCTCTCTCTCTCTCCCTCTCTCTCTCTCTCTTCTTATATCTCGCTCCTCTGCATTTCGTTTCTTCAATCTTCTTCTCTCTCAAATTTCTCTGCTAGAACGAAGTGAAAAGACTGAAAAGGGCTTCAATGGCGAAATTGGTTCTGCTAATTGCTCTGTGCGTGCTGCCGGCTCTGGCCGCCGCTACCCGTCCCATGAAGACCCCGTTCACGGTGGAGGGAAAGGTCTACTGCGACACTTGCCGCGCTGGGTACGAGACCAAAGCCATCACCTACATTGCCGGTAACAATTTTGATCTCCGATTTTGTTTTTAGCTCTAGTTTTGCTTTTAGAAATTTGGGTTTTTGCAATTTGGATCTCATTTGATAGATCTGGAAATGTGTGTCTTTTGTTTGTAAATTTAGTTGCAAGATTTGGTTTTTTAAATCTCAGATCTGACTGGGTTTGAAGTTTGAATTAGGTGGACTGTATGGTCAAATGATGATGCTTTTGGGGTTTGTTGTGTTTATTATTTTCTTATCTGTGTGTGCTAGTGCATGCCAAAGAATATTTGACGTTAGATTGATAGATGGTGACATTGACTTTATATAATAATATATGATCAATACACAAATAAAGAACCCATCTTGGATCTTTGATTGAAAATTAAGGACATCTTATCTGCAGGGTTTTATTTTGTTCACATCTAGGTCAACTTTGAATGGATGCATTCTAACATACGGTTTATGTCATTCGTTCGTGACATCGTTTTCGGAATAAATAGTTAGGAAGAGTTTTGTTTGCTCAATGGTTGTTGATTCTAGTTTATGATCATGTTTTGACAAGATTTCGGTGTGGGGATATTGTTTCGAGAATTAGAATTGTTGTAGGTCTAGACATTTGGGGAGTACAGTATCGTACGATTTGAGAAAGCTATACATTGTCTGTAATGACTCGTTGATCATATGTACATCAACTCTTTGCTGCATTGATTTCTAAAACTAATGTCGCTCGTGACATCGGTTTGTTAGGAAAACTTTGGTGATTTGATAGTTATTGAATCCTATGTTCATGTTTGGCGTAGGTTTTGACGATTTGCCAACCGTTTTGGTTTACTAGTTCAGGGTTTGGTTGTGTTTATCCTGTTGATTCTTTAAACTGACAATTTGGAAGGAAATATTAGAAACTATATCGAACTTTCGATTGGATTGGAGATTTCCTCTTAACTAGTTTTATTTGGTGATGTTAATATAGGTGCCAAGGTTAGACTGGAATGCAGAGACAAAAGCAGCATGGCACTCGTGTACACCAAAGAAGGGACAACCGACTCAGCAGGTTGCTATAAGATCCCGGTCGCAGAGGACCATTTGGATCAGTTCTGTGATGCAGTCCTTGTTAGCAGCCCTCAGAAGGACTGTGCAACAGTTTCCCCGGGGCGTGAGCGTGCACGGGTCATCCTCACCGGCTACAATGGCATTGCTTCATACACCCGTTTTGCCAATGCAATGGGGTTCATGAGGACCGAGGCCTTGTCTGGTTGCACCCAGATTTTGAAGGAACTGCAGGAGCTCGACGTGTAGGTGTCAGTTTGAGTTCCTAGTTTGTGTCTACTACTTTTAAACCTTGCTTGGTTCACGCTGCTAATGTTTGCTGTTGTTTGCTGGCTTGTTATCTCAACACCTAGTGATTTCTTGATTTATTTGCTCTACTCCTTAAATTATATTTCATGGTCTCTTCTGGACTGGATAATATGGTTTCTGTTATATATATTAATAATTGATTAAATTGATTTTCTCAATGTAATTCAATGTCGTTTTAATACACAACGCATCGCATAGAAAATTTCTTGGAAAAATTAGAGGTTATACAAATTTATCATCGTGTGGTGTCTTGCACCATACGCATGGAACAATGAGCCAATCGAAATAATATCGCGTTTAAAAATAAGAAAAGATGAATTAATCTTATAAGCTAGGTAAAATCATGAAGCAAATCTTCGGACTACAAATTTCTGGTAAAGGAGAGTACAATTTGAAGCTCCCTGATATCTCATATCAACTTATCAGCATCAAGGACCAACTTCGGATGCAGGCATTGATCCGAAATCTTCTCGATTGTGTACAGCAGTCGTATGAACAAGTGCTTGATCGTCTAACCAAGTTGTGCGAGCAAATGCGTGCTCAGGCATGAGGTCTGAGCGGTTCATCATTCAGAAGATGATCTATTAGTGGTTCGTCGAGGTTAAGGTTGACGTCGATGAGCGGTTCATCGTCCAGAAGATATGTATGAGCGACTTGGTAGGCTGCATCTGTGATTGACTCGAAAAGCTTTCATGTGTGTGTCGACTGTCGAGTGAGAAGTGAAAGGCTCAAGGAGATATTAAGCAAGAGAGATGTGCATGTAAACGTTTGGTCCCTACCCTTTCTAAACTAACACTTTATTCCATTAAGTTAACCACTATTTTGTTAAACGGCACTCGATGACCATATGTTACGAACATCATATTGATGTCATGTAGGCCATTAATTATCATTACCTACAGATTTAGAATAGAGGTGTGTTTCAAAAGGACCAGAAACAACGTTTTCAATTTTCGTATCAAAATTTTGAAATCGGACAGATTGAATCACAATTTTCAAATTTGAAATTTTTGGCATATTTAGAAATTTTGGAATCTAAGTAATTTCGGAAATTTCGAAACATAAATCAGAAATTCATATAATATTTAAGTTTTTGATTTTTTTTTAACTTTTTCATACATGCAATTTATTATTCATTCTTAATATTTGGTATATGGTTATGTATCAATTCAATTAATTTTGTGGTATACTAGTATGCTTATCCTTTTTAATATATAAATGTATGTTTAATATAAATACAATGAACAAAATGTAACCAAATTTTTTTTTTTTAAGGAAATACGATATTTTATTGGAAACACCCTCAATGGGCTAAATCATGGTTGAGCACAGCCCTAAGGAAATCTGGGGGTTCTTCGAACCATACTTTTGAGTCCGCACTAATTAAATTGAACTTAGCTAAACAATGAGCTACTCCATTACACCTACAAGGAATATACGAAACCCTACACTCTTGAAACTGAGACATCAACTCTTGGATATCCATGGCTATAAAACCAAGGCTAGAGAGATCTCCCCCACTCGCCTTGCAACATTGCCACCGTTTCCATGGAGTTAGATTCCCACTGCAACATGCGTGACGCCAAGGAATTTCGCCAACTGTAACCCAACCAAAACAGCAAGGAGCTCCACCTATTTGACCGAAGCAGTCCCCTAAAAATGCCTCACCACCACTGCCCTGAACAAACCACCCACCCCTCGAACCACCCATCCCACTCCCCCTACTCCTTCCTATACCTTCACTGGTCCATCCACATTCAATTTAAACCAACCATCACTTGGCACTGCCCAACAATGTGGCACGGATTCTCTCACCTAACTGGGTTAATGGTTAGCCTTCCAGAACTCATTAAGCCAGCTAGTCGTGCATTGAACCACCTCCAACGGATCAAACCACCTGCCCTTCCTAGACCACATCATTCTGACCCTTCCATAAAGCTCAAATCACCATTAGAACCACATAAAACTCCACCTTCTTAGCCTCCCAAATTTGGAACATCCACTCTTTCAATGTAACCTCCAAGCTCCCTATCCCTCCTAACCCTAATGGTGCAGCAAACTAGACCGCACAAACAAAATGACAATTCTAAAGTACATGTTGTGCCTACTCAGAGACTGCATTGCACCATGGGCAAGATACATCGAGCCTAACACCTTTGGTTGATAAATTCCTCCTTGTGGGGAGGATATCATTACACAAATGTTTGGCACCCGCGGCTTCCAAATGGCCTGCCAAAGACCACGATAGACACCACCATTATCAGAGGATGAAGAAGCAACAATATGTGAATGAGCAATCATCTTTCTTGCAACTTGATATGTGCTCTTAACCGAGAAAACACCCTTCTTACCATAATGTCACATTAACATGTCCGGCGGCCTTCGAAAGCTAAGCAGAATTGAATAAATGAACCTCACCTCGTCCTCCAAAAATAATTGTTGCAGCAGCACCACATCCCAGCGTATCCCATTAGCTAAAACTAGGTCCTTCACCTGTAAGTACAAGAGCATCAGTGGCGTCAAAGTATAGATTTTGAAAGTAGACGGTCTAGGAATCAATTTATCCTTCCAAACATGAACAGTTTCTCCATTACCAATATCCCACCGCGACTCGAGCTCCAATACTCCACATGATTGCACAATGCTCTTCCAAGCATAGGACATCGTAGGAAGAGCAACATTACTCCAAAAGTTTCCATCATGAAAGTACTTTGCCCTTAACCCCTTACTCACTAGAGACTCCGAATTACTGACAAGCCCCATCCTTTTTGCAAGAAGAGACAGATTAAAAGCATAAAGGTCTCAAAAGCCCATACCACACTCACTCTTTGGATGACACATTTTCTCCCATGACATCCAATGAATTTTTCGAGTTTCAATATCACTACTCCACCAAAACTTTGCTATTAGTTGTTAGAGCTCTTCACAAAATGTTTTTGCCATTAGTTGTTAGAGCTCTTCACAAAATGTTTTAGGCAATAAGAAACTTTGCATGGCGTATACTGGCAAAGCTTAAGTTACCACTTTGATAAGTATATGCTTACCCGCACTACTTAACAATTTGCCTTTCCACCCTTTGAGCTGCTGATTCACTCGTTCTTTAATGAACAAAAATGTTTGTTTCTTATTTTTTCCAACGAACGTTGGCAGCCCCAAGTATATATCATGTCACTCCACCTTCTGTACTCCCAAGAAAGATGCTAGTTGAACTTGTAAAGTCTCCGGAACATTTGACTTGACTACTCTTATGGAAACTTTTAGCTTGCTTAGATGCTTGAGAGTACACATCCAACACTTTCTGCACGACTCCACAATCCTCCAACATAGCCCAGGCGAAGAAGAAGCTATCATCTGCAAATAACAAGTGATGTAGCCTTGGAACCGACTCCGCCATTTGGACCCCGTGAAAAATCCCTTTGCACTCCTTCTGTGAGATAAAGGCAGATAATCCCTCCACACACAATAGAAAGAGATGAGGTGATAATGGATCCCTCCATACACAATAGTCATCCCGTCCATTCTGCTTATTATGAAGGAAATGACCTACCTCCCCCGCCAACAAAGAGTTGTCTGATATTAAACATCCTAGAACAAAAGCACTTTGGAATGGAGAAATCAAAGTAGTTAAAATAGGCTTTAAACGATTCGTCAGCACCTTAGCACAAATCTTGTAAAGAACATTACATAGACTGATCAGACGTAAGTGAGACATATCTTGGGGCTCCTTCACTTCAGGATCAATATCACGTGTGTAAAGCACACTTCTTGCAATCGACACCTTGACTCAAAGAAAGAACACACAACATCCACCACATCACTACCAACAACATGCCAATATTTTGATAGAACAAATGGGACATCCCATCAGAACCTAGCAATTTGGATGGGTGCATTTGAAACAAAGCACCATTCACTTCTTCCTCCTTAATAGGACTTAACAAAGTGTCATTCATCTCATTAGTAACCATCGGGGCAACACTCCCAATAACCTCCCCAGTGCATTTGGAAGCACCTTTAGGAAGTGAAAATATGGCGAAAATATTAAGGTATTGTCCTCTCAATGCCCTGCGCCGACTCCTACCATACTCATGCATCATCCCGCAGGCCCTTTATAGCATTTTTTTCGGTTTCTATCTGAAGCCTTACAGTGAAACCACTTCTAATTCCTATCTTTTTCCCTCAACCACGTCACCTGTGACTGTTGTCGCCAATATGTTTCCTTTCGAGAAAGCAAACCCTCCAAACTTTCCATCAAATTCTTCCTTTGTGCAATGGTCACCCCCGTATAAAGTTGCGTGAACAGCACCCCTAATTTATCCGTCATCTTACCAATTTCCTTCTTTATATTCTCAAATGTACACCAATCCTAATCCATAAGTGCCACCCTAGTAGCCTTAATCTTGGAACATAATTGGAATAATTTAACCCCTTGAAACTCACACTTCCAACCCTCATTGACCACATGTTCACATCCCTTCCCGTGCAACCACATTTCGTCAAAGCAAAAATGTTTAGGTTTCCTCGATGCAACCAGGTTGGAGACACGAACCTCCACGAGAACCAATAGATGGTCCGATTTAGATGGATTCAAGTGAACCCCCCCCCCCCAAGAGCAGCGGTAAATATCACGCCATTCATGCGTGGCAAAACCAGGATCCAAGCGACATTTCACATTGTTTTCACTGTTCTGTCCCCAAGTATATTCCTCCCCAACAAATCCAAGATCAAATAACTAAACTGAGTTCACTGCATCTATAAAAATAACCATATGTCTTTTCCCTTTGCAAGTTGCCCCTAAACCATTCTTCCTATCGCAGAACCTCATTGAAATCCTAACACAAAGCCAGGTTATAACTACCACCCAAACTTTCCAACAAAGCGCAAGCCTGTACTGCTTTGATGTTACCGGACAACCGTAAGATCCTGTAAATTGCCATACAACGTGATCATGGAAGGAAACTTGGGCATCAATATGAGAAGGGAAATAGGAAAAAACCATGACCTCTACCTCCTCGTCCTCCCTTCAAAACAAACACAAGCCCCATGACCGCCCACAAGTCGCCATACTAAACGCAAACTCAAAACCAATACTATACTTCACACAATCCATCTTTCTTTTATCACTTTTCGTTTCACACAAAAAACACCATTTGAGGACGTTGCCGTTGGATAATATCCAACAGTGTTTGAACTGCAGTCTGCAGAGGACTTCCCCAATCCCTTACAGTTCTAACTTAAAATATTCATTAATACATATGCAAACTAATAACACTTTAAAGTAGGCATGCATTCAAAAACAATTCATAAAACCCATGACTTTCAAAGCCTAGTATATGATGAACCATAAGACTCTTTAACAATATTAAAGAGAATAAGAATTTTAGAGATTCTTTACCCTTGAAGCTCATCCTTGATTGCACAAGGGATTCACCCAAGTGGAGGGCCTTCAAGTCACCTCCTTGCTCATTGGATCTTCCTTGTGATTTTCTCCCTTTTAGTGCTCCTTTTTCTTCTTTGAGGATTTGAGGATTTGTTCTCCAAAACACCAAAAGTTTGGTGTCTCTAAGTCTCCACACCAAAGATGTTGTGTGAAGATGAAATGGATGACTTAGGGAAGAAAGATTGCTAGATGTTCCTCACCTAAGGTAATTTGTTCTCAAAGAAAATGAGAGAGTTTGTTTCACCCAAATTCAATTAGAAAAAACCCTAAGGATGAAATGGCTATAAAGATGTCTTTATACCACCTCACAATGGAGTGGCAAACTTGCAATTAAGCCAAGTTCACTACCCTTGAAGCTTATGGCCGGCCATTAGTTGTTATTGGGCTTAATTGCCCATTTTGTTTTAGTTGTCATACAACTTAAACATAATGGGCCTTGTGGACCAAAACGTTTTCGTGCTCCGAAGCCCAAAACTAACTTAAACGCCCAATACGAACGTTTCGTATAATTAATTAACTATTTAATTAATCTTGACCATTCTTCAATTAAACCATTTAATTGCTTATCCATTTCATATAATTTCTTCACTTATATCTTTACTCGGTGTACGATCCATTAGGTTCCAATTAGCGAGGTAGTGGGCGATGTTACTCTTAACGATCGATTGTGAATTGAAACCACATTTCAATTCTCCCTTAAAATTAGTGTTTGCTAATCTTTAGGGCTTCCACAAACCATGGGTGACGCCTAGTAGCATGTCATGGTTACCCAAGCTAAGTAGAAGTGGTTGGAGAACCTATCCAGTTACAACTACAATGCAATACGGTCCTTCTCTAATACAATACTCTTAATCACATTGTTTAAGTGATAGTTTGTTTCATGTCTACTATCCAATGTGATACTTCTCTATATGATTCAATTGAATAAGATTTGGAACATCTTCCTTAGTCATATTCATATGCTTTGGCCAAAGACTCTCGAATCATATCTTAGAGTATTCTCCTTCCATCATGGAAGGTTAGAGATCCCTTGTTGTGCATTCATATGCCTACATGACTAGATAGCTTGACCCCAACAATGCCGTGGACACTCCAATGGAATGCCGTTGACATAATCAAAGATCAAGGACCTAACCATTAGACATCAATGATGCCTCAGGTCAAAGGACTACTTTGCATATTGCAACTATTGAGTTCTCACATGACATGTATGTTCGAACTCTTGTTTGATCGTTGTTCAGTGTACTCGATTACTCTTTCGAGCACCTATGTGTTTGCCTTAGTGTCCAACACCAAATGACTTGAGACTAGTTCATACTCACGCTTGAGTCGACATAACACATACTAACCTTAGCGGATTGTCAATGCCCAATTGGCAATCCTATGGCTAGGAACGTTTTAGGAATGAACATAAGAGAAAGGTCTCGTTAATTTAACTAACTTAAATCACTTGTCTCTTAGATCAAATACATTCCTTGGATTCCCTTATTGCTTAAACACAAGATACTATAAATAGTGATTAACAATAAGCTTTGCCCTCTATTAAACATATAAAAGTTTAACACAATAAGTATTCCAAAAAGCTATTACATCAAATGAGTGGCTTTGTGGGTATACTTCCAACACTCCATAGCAACACCCACCGATAGACTAAAGCAAACATTTTCAAGGAAGATAAGCCATCCTCTCTAGCTAGGCTATCGACTTCTCTCCCTCTATTCCCACCGGTTTTTATCAGGTACTCCACCTGATCACCCCTTAGAGCAAAACCAGGAATGGCAGTAGCACGCATAACTGATAACTGTTTCTTCCTCGGCCCCTTTATCAACTTATAAGCCCCTCATCTGTTGCGTCCCTTAACCTCATCACGCCCAACAAGGAAAGGCCAAAGCCCAAAAAAATCAAACCCAATTAGAGATGAAGGCCCAATAGAAGGGAAGCACATATACTCGGGTCCAATAGGAAGACAACCCCCCAATAAGAGAATAGGCCCCCGACTCAAAACACCCAACTTTGAACTCCCAATTTTTTACGCATCCACCTTCAAATTAGTTTCCATCTCAATCTCCTGAATCACCACGATAGTAGACATCAAAGGATTAGCCAAATCCATGGAATCCTGGGATGGTAATTCCCTTGAAATCTGTTGCAATCAATCTTCCCTGCCGTAACATCAACTCTATAATTCTCCCCATCCAAATTGAGTGAACCGAGACCTCTGCCTCCAGCACCCCCACCATTGTCCTCCCCGGTATCCATACCATTGGTCGCAACCACCCTCAAGTTCTCATCTACTTCCAACTCCAAGGCTTGCATACTCTATTGTTCCTTAGCAGGAACCTTCACTGCCCTTTTCCACCACCACACCCCAGCAAAGGCTTCCCAGCTTGCAACCAGACATCGTACAGTGACGATACTTCATGAATCTTCTCCCCCTTATAGCACCCACAGTCCGCCCCATAATGATTTAGCAGCCCACACAGATAACAATACATAGGTAATCACTTCATACTATACAAGAACATCAACTAGATCCCCTTATTCTTACGGAGGCAAGGCGAAACAACAAGCCCCTGTGTAGAGGCTTCGTCACATCCACACCTACTCTAATACACATAAATTCCCCCAAACACAACCTATCTCAACTCTCCACCACTACAAGCTGCTCCAAAACCTTACTAATCTCTTCCCCATAGCCCTAGTCATTGAAGATAATGGTAGGTCATGAACACGAATCCAAAACTCTTGCTTACACAACAGGACATCTACTAGAATTGCATTTTTATGAACTTCAACGAGAACCACAAGAGCCTATCTAAAGTACCATGGACTCCCCCATAGCACACAATGAAGGGCTTCCTCCATATCGAAAACACACAAAAACCTCCCCATCTAGCACTAGGCGGTTGGCCATCAGCCTAATTAGTCCCTAGGCATTTGAAAATTAAGAAAGTGCACCTAGATTTGCTTAGGCATCTGTCTAGCCTGCCTAGGCACCCGCCTAGGTCTTGACTCTCACTTAAACAGATATATCCTTGCATTCTAAACCAGCTCGAGTTGAAGCTTATCAATCGATAACTTTCATTTTACATTTTAATTTTTCAATAAGATGTAAGAGACTTGCATACTTAGATGAACACTCATTATATGCTTTATAATATTTAATTTATGTCATTTTATTTTACAATTTAGTTATCCCAATATAATTATGTGTGTTTTAAGTACAAATAGGCACTTATTTATACAATATGTAATAAATTTACTTAAATCTGTGTAATCCGCCTAGTCCGCCTTAGGCCCCTACCTAGCAGCCTAGGCGCTAAGCCCCAGCTTGCCATTCGACTAGCACTTAACGTCTTTTATAACCTTGTTTCAAGAAAGAAAAATGCTAAGGGTTCAAGAAATAAAAATGCTAAAGGGAGTTTCGCAAAATGAGACTCTCCATAAAATCTTTGCCACCTCATAATATCGGCTACAAGAATTGACGTTAAATTGTGAGGTGACAGAGTGTCCATGGAGATCCCACTTTCCAAGAGTCCTCTTAGCATTCCTCTTCAAGAAATCGAGGGAAATTTAAATTATGGGCTAGGTTTAACAAAAAGAAGGGTAAAGATAGAATTATTGAGGGAAATTTAATTGTGAGGTGTATTCAATAAATTACGGGATGTTAATAAAATAACTCTTAATTTTATTTAAGATAATTGGACTATATGTTGGAAAATATTAGCATTTAGGTTTATTTTAATGTTTCATTTTTTGGGTCAAGCCCGTTAGTATTAGGGTTTTGTTTCCTTGCCTATTCGTGTTAGGTTACTTTTCTCTATATATGGTAATTTATAACTCTATTAAATAACAAGTTGTAGTCTTTCCTAGTTATATAGCCGCCTCGTCGATCTGTAGTGTTCTCTTGGTTCCAATTCATGAAGTTTTATATTCCGTGTGTTCGTTGCGCACTCTAATTTTCAACTTAGTATTAGAGCATGTTTGATCCTTTGAGATTTAATCTGCTCTTGTCCCGTATCAGTTTGTTGTCATCTTCTGCTGTTTGATTGTTCCAGTTTAGATTCATCGTGAAAATTGTCGTTGTTCATTGTTGTCCAAAAAAGAAAGTTGTCATTGTTCGTTATTCATTGTTCTTCATTCATTGTCCGTCATTCGTTCTTGTCCCGAACTCTAGAGTCTGATCTGCATCCCTAGCAATCTCACACCCGTGCGTTTTGTACTGGAGTTCTGCATGCAATTGTTAGAGCTAAAAAAAAAAAAGAGAAATGAAAAAGAAAGAAGAGAGCGAGAGAAAAAATGAAAAAAAAAAAAAAGGAAAAGTAAAAAGAAAGAAATATTGGTTGATTTGGTTGTTTTTAAGGTCCATATGGATGACTTGAGAAGGTTTTTGTTTGGCTTGTATTGGAAAGCATGTCGTTGCCCACTGCAACGGTCATTCAAGTGCTTGTACTAGTGACCTCTTGAGTGATGTTGCATACGTAGTGAATTGGATTTTTCTATTGTTCGGAAGCTCGCAATTGGTATTGGGGAAGTTCGCACTAGCATTGATATTGGTCTTACACAGGCACTGACATTGGAATCTTGCACTGGTGATGTCATTGGAATCTTGCACTGGTGCTATCATTGGAATTTTACATTGGTACTGGCATTGGGATCTTGCATTGGTACTGGCATTGGGATCTTGCATTTGCATTACTCATAATGTAGTGTATTCGAGTTATGTAGCCGTCTCAGCGATTGTTCTCTTGGTTTCAATTTAATGGAGTTTTATATTCTGTTTGTTCGTTGCACACTTTTATTTTCAACTCCGTAGTTATATACCCTTACATTAAACATTAGGTATTGATGCAAAAGATAAACATTAGGTATTGATGCAAAAGACAATAATAACTACATAATACGGATACACTATCATGTGGCGTTTCGTGTCATGTAAGGCAATTTGGTTTTCATTCTAAAATGTATAACCATTTGAAGCCTAAATCAATTGGGCAGTAACCAAGAAGGTCAAAAAGGGAAGATAAGAACACTACATGAAATTATCCAGTTCTTATTCTTAATTACTCTTAGCATGAAAATACTTACCTAGATAGCACTATTGCTAATAAGCGCTTTGTAAGTACTTTTATTAGAATAAGTGTATCATAATTTTATTAAAAATTTACGTGCTTTCTTCCTATAACACCTGCATTTCTCTTAATTTGGAGGAGATTAGAGTTTTTTTTATAGGAAAAAAAAGAAAGTTACAAAGAAAACCCTTTCTGACAAACGATATTATTTGGAGGAGATTATAGTTTATTTCTTGTAAGAATTTGATTTTTTTTTTTTTTTAACAAACCATATTATCTCTACTAATTAATAAAACATTCATTGTCAATCAAAATCTTATAAAATTATCAGTTTAACCCTTTAATTAAAACAAAACATGAATAAGAAATATGGGGCATAATTGTAATTTCACACAACCAAATTTTGTTGTTTTTTTTTCAAAGTCTCACCTACATGTAATCCTAACATATCTCTAATTATAAAAAATAAAAAAAATACAAAATACAAAAAAAATTCCCACTCCCACATTCTCTATCACTCCCTTCCTCTCTCCTATTTCAAAAACAAAAATAAAAAATTTTCTCACTTTGTGTGCCCATATGCTAGTTTATACTAAGGAAGAGAAAGTGGACTTAGTCTCACAATGAGCAAGCAATAATATGGTTTAAATTCATTTTCGGCAAGAATCAAACTTAAGATCTCTCACTTACAAGTGGAGAAAAATATCACTACATTGTAGTATTAAATAACGGAAGAATTCAACTTTAGATGAAAAAAAAGTGTAATAATGCAAAAGGCAAATATTAACATAATTTAACCGTAACCACACAAAACAGAAAAACATGGAAAGTGACAGACAATCCTTGTCCCTAAATCGGAGCGTTGAGGATCACATCACATTCACAAGCTCCAAGCTTTACTCTGGACCGTCCAATAAATTATAACCTTTTGTAAACCAACACGTTGCAGAGAAGCATATTCCATTATCATCAGAGACTTACATGCCAGAATATTCTTATCGCACACCATCCCTTTCCTTTCTCGTTGATTCTCCACGTGGCAAAATCTGAAAACGTTGAGTATTAAAATATGTGAAATGTGAATGCACAGGGAGGAGTTAGGTGTCACATGGTTGCATGTATTTGGTACGCATCAATGCATAAGCTGTGCACGAACAACCCAAGCACGTGTTCTGTCAAAAAACCACCAAAATGGAAGGTGGTGTGTGTGGGGTTGGTAGTATTAGTATTGGAGGTAGGTTGTATAACTTTGGTGACTTTTTTTAATTTTATTTTTGTTTAACAAACGATATTATCTACATTAAAGAGATAGAGTGAGGTAATACTCACAATGAACTAATAATAATATGGTTCAAATTCGTTTTTAGTAAAAGTCGAACTTAAGGCATTTTATTTACAAGTGAAGAAAATAAACTTAATTAGGAGGCTATATTATTGCCCCTTCGAAGGTCCTTGTTGTCTTATAAATGAATAAAATAGACTTAGCTCATTTACAATCTGGCCCTTTTAAGTATGCCCACATGAAAATTAAACCCTCTAGTGGGTGATGAGGCCAACCCAAATTGGTCGTTCTACAAAGAACGTGTTGTCAAGTACAACAATCTACCAGTCTTTATTTTATATATAGTCAATTTAGTACGTTGTTTATAATATTTGATCTCTTAAAGTTAGTTAGAATCTACATTGCAAAGGTATTTAGGATCATTAAACTAAACGATAATCGAAAACCCACATAGGTTTGTTAATGTTGAAATAATACGCCAATGTATCTACAAAATCTAGCTATAAACTTGTTAGTTAACTTGTAAAATCCATTGATCCTTACCTCCTCCAACGAACTCTTTACCCAAATTATTTTCTAAACCTTCTTATCCAAGTCAAAAATAAAGGAACAAACACACATACATTAGCATATGGATTTAGCAGTTACCCATTACTTATCCTCTCGTTAACCACGTAATCAACTTTTATCGTCCATGACCAAAAAAAAAAAAACTTTTATCATCCAAATAAAATGAATAAAATAAACTTGTCCTAATATTAGAGGAAAAGAATTGAAGTCAAACCTACCGAACACAGTCAGAGGCTGAAACGCCCACCAGACTGCTGCCAACTTTGGCAAACCCTTGTCAATACACTGTTGCTTTACAACGCTTTTAATGACGAAGACAAACTGCGACGATTTCTTCTATAAATATAAATATTGATTATATGTTATTATATATAATAATTATATACATCTCTATATATAAAAATATTTGATGAAACATTCATACTATTAAAATAAAATTTGGATATAAGTTTAACTTTTTGCCAATATTAAGAATAAATCATTTTTATTAAACTAAGTCCGATTTCTTGAACTTAAAATTATTTTATTATCAAAATTATCTCTTTAATGATAAATTTACTATAGAAATTAGATCTCTTCCTAACTATCTCTTTACTTATATCTTCTTATTTTATTTTCTTTTTGTTATTTCTTCTTCTCCTTCATACTCTAAACCTCATTCATAGATTTTAATTTTAGTTTTTATACTCAACCTATATCACAAGTTAACTGTCTTTATCTACCTACATGACAGATTATTTTTATTATCAACTTGTATCAGAGATTAATGTGTCATGCTTATGGTTATTGGTATATTATATTTTTGTACCTTACAATCAACATATATTACAGGTTATTACATTTATCTACTTATACGATATATTCTTTTTTATAATCAACATGTATCAAAAATTAATGTATCTTGCTTGTAGGTATATTATGGACTTAACCTAATAGCTATGTTAATTTTTGGAACAAGATCTAAGTGCCCCTAAGTGCCTCTCTTTACAACTTTTAAAATGAACAATTCTATCAAATAAAGGCAAATTATTAAAAGAATCAAAAGAAAACAATCCCATATGGAAGATTGACTAGCCACTTTTTTTTTAATTTTTTTAGAATTATAAACTACTGTAAATTAAGTTAGTTTTTCATATAAATTAAAATATCCAGAAAATAATAATAATTAAATTAAAAGAGAGTAAAATAAATTGACACATGCGTTAGATGCTAGTGTAAAATAAAAACCAGTTTTCTTTCTTTTCCTCTCCTCCTGAAACTTGTTGGGAGGTCAATGTTATGAGAGATGGACAGACATTGATATCATGTTGTAGCCATTAGCTTTCTCTTTCAGCAAACAACTCATCAGCCATCTTCTTCTCCGTCAACCTCTCTCGTAATAAACTCTGTCGCCCCGTTTGCCTCGGTTACGTCGCCTTTTCAACTTTATAAAACCAGGTAATTTTCAAAGACCACCCACCACACTTTCTGTGTTTTCAAATTTGATTGCTTCTGCATTTCCATCTGCGGATTTTGGCTTCTGGGTTTGTCTCTTATAATCTTAGTCTCTGCAAAGGTCTGTCCTTTTCTGTTATTTCTTTTTACTTTTTAGATTTGGTTTGAATGTGCTTGGATATTTGAGAAAATATGGGAAAACCAATTTTTTCTGGGTTTTTTTGTTCTAATTTTCATTGGGAATTAGTTGTTTTTAGCATGAGTATTGGATTTGCATCTGTTTCTGGTAATTTGAAATTATTGTTACATAATCAGTGCTAATTGTTTTCTGCTAATTAATTTTCCATGTGTCGGTCAAATGGGCTTGATTATGATGGGATAAACATATTTTTCTGAGCTCTATAACTTTATAACGATTCATGTATGATCTGATATTGGTGTACAAAATGGTTTTTGCCATTGTTTATAAAGCATGACAAGTTACAATAGTTCAACTACGTTTTCGTTGCATATAAAGACTACAAAGTGTTCTTTTGTCCTAAATTTTTTCATAATTTGTTTGTACTTAAGATTTTGTATAATCTGTGTACTGATCTCATCACCTGGGATGTTATGAATTTTCAGAATGGCCTGCTGCTGCTGCATTTCACCAAAGCATTGGGACTCCTCACTCTGTTGGGCATGTTAATAATTCCGGACTGCATCAAGAGCTTGCGAAAAGCTCAGTGAGATTCGTTTCAAAGGGTTTTGAGATTGATATTGGACTGTCAAAAAGAGGATGCTACAGCTCTTCCCAGAGAAACCTTAGTGTAATTCGAGCCTCGGCTTCCCAGGCTTCAGTGATTGATATAGTCTCATCCCCATCACATACCAAATCCAATGATTCTCGGAAAAAATCTAGTATGCGTTTTTAACCATTCTATTTTGATTGATTGAATGGTGAATAGTACATAACCCATGTTAATTCTTTGTCGTTGATTGTATAATAACATGGTCGTATAATTCAATTTCCTAGAAGAACAAAAAAAGGGTTGTCGAATTTTATTTTTTATACAATTGATATGCTGTATCCTTATGAGTTTGAAGTTTAAATTTATGTTTGTAAAATTGTCCAACTGTTGTTTCCACCTGCATTTCAGATGAAGCAGCTTTGATTTTGATTAGGCATGGCGAGTCATTGTGGAACGAAAAGAACTTGTTCACAGGCTGTGTTGATGTCCCTCTGAGCAAGAAGGGTGTAGAAGAGGCAATTGAAGCTGGCAAGAGAATCAGCAACATACCTGTCGACATGATCTATACATCTGCACTGATTCGTGCCCAGATGACTGCCATGCTTGCCATGACACAGCACCGTCGTAAGAAGGTAATTTGGAGCAAAACATCTTGTTGAGTGTCAGTAGGAACCAATTGAATGGCAATTTGGAGGCTTTATGGTAGTGGCACTGGAAAGTGGGAAATGATGTCCATAGATGATTGAAATGGTTTTATACCATTCGTGATATTTAAGCAGGAGTACGCAGACAAAACATCCGTCTGTACCCTAAAAAGAAAAAGAAATATTACGCTATTAATTTGAGCTGCATTTTCAAATTTGATTTACTGCTTTTATTTTCCAGGTTTTACTCTTTTGGCCTAAATATGTTCCACTGCGTGACACAGATAATTTCTGGTTTTATATCCATTTGGCAGCCTTTTTATATCAGTTTTCCTGCAGGTCCCAGTTATAATGCATAATGAGAGTGAACGAGCTAGGGCATGGAGTCAGATTTTCAGTGAAGACACAATAAAGCAAACCATTCCTGTCGTAGCAGATTGGCGATTGAATGAAAGAATGTAACATTTCATCACTGCATTTTTGAATTATTATTCTTATCTGCTATTTTTCCCTGTACTTGCATGACATGGATCTCGTTTGTAGGTATGGGGAATTACAGGGTCTTAATAAGCAGGAAACAGCAGACAGATATGGGAAGGAACAAGTTCACGAGTGGCGTCGGAGTTATGACATTCCCCCTCCCAATGGCGAGAGTTTGGAAATGTGCGCTCAAAGAGCTGTTGCTTATTTCAAGGATCAAGTAAGAATGACCATGCGCTTACCTGTATCTCTTTGTCCTCTTAAGTTTTTGTATTGCATCCAATTTGCGATAAGGATTTTGTATCATTTTTGAAGTCTCAACTCAAGTGACAATATGCCGTTCTGAATATCTGATTCTGTAAATATTACGCTGCAGATTGAACCCCAACTGTTGGCTGGGAAGAATGTTATGATTGCTGCCCATGGGAATTCGCTGAGATCCATAATCATGTATCTTGACAAACTGACTTCTCAAGAGGTGATACATCATTTTGGTTGAGCTATGCACCGGTTTTTGGGACTAATCATTTTATAAAACTAGAAAAGAAAGACTGATGTTGTCTTATTATTTTTTGCAGGTTATTAGTCTGGAACTATCAACTGGAATTCCTATGCTTTACATTTCCAAAGAGGGAAAATTCATCCGGAGGGGAAGTCCCGCGGGACCTGCTGAGGCTGGGGTTTATGCCTACACTAAGGTAAGCAACCTCTCGTATTAGTTGCAACCTTTCTGCAGTTCAATTTTATAGTATAGGCATAAAACCCAGTTATGATGGTGCAATTTGAAAAAATTCTTAGTACTTCGGCTGAGAAAAACAATGTGCCTGCTCTTCCCTTGTGAGGAAAGAAAGGGAGCTTCCAAGTCGTAGAAACTGGATTCTGCCCTTCCCTTTAAAGATTCAACTTCTTCCCGTCAAGGAAGGCTGTAACATACATATACGCAGCTTTGATTAGACCTTAATCATCTCAAATTGGCATTGATTTATAGTTCTCAGTATATATATGAGCAAAGACACCGATTATTGAATAATCAGTGTCAACGTCATTTCTCTTTATTTCCAGTTTATACAATTATTAATCCAAAAAGGAACGAAGTAACGCTTTAGCTGTTTGAATTTTGTTGCAGAATTTGGCTCTTTACAGGCAGAAGTTAGATGAGATGGTTCATTAGTGTGCTACTTCCTAGCATAGGTAACCCCATAAGTATTTTCTCAAGTAGGGAACCTACATTATGGGTTTTCTTATGCTTCCGAGATCTCAAGTATGCTTCTGCACATTCATTTGCTTTCCCTCTGGGGGGCTTATCTTTCGTCAGTCTTGTACCTGTCGCCTTAGCTCAAGGTTTTACGTGTATATGAAATAGGTTGTTACGGGTCTCAAGCTCGCGGACCTGGCTACTTGTTTCTGTTGTGTATGAAATAGGTTGTTACGGGTCTCAAGCTCGCGGACCTGGCTACTTGTTTCTGTTTACTTTGTGTATGTGTAGCAAGCAAATTCAATTCAGTTAAAGTTAATGTCTTAGATGATAGTGAAAGTTGTTGTGTATGTTATTGTCTTCCCAGTTTGTAATCGTCTTCCCTGGATCCATTTTATTTGTTGGATTAATTCTTTATTTTCAGTTTTTTTTTTTTTTAATAAAAATATTTTAAATAGAGGGACATCCCTTTGTGTAAAAAGAATCAAGGGGCTACGTTTCAAATTACCTAAGCTTCTTATGGATGGCTTCTTTGGAAAGCACTTTCACTCAAAAGATTTTCTTGTAGAAATGCTTTTATTGTAGACACGTTGAAATTTTGTTAAAAATTCAAGTGCAAGCACCTCTGAGTTAGGAAGCACTTGTAAATTTTTATGTCAAATGCATTCAAAGAGTTTCTGGTTGTCAGACCTCCAAATGGCCCCTCTTTTTCGATGTGAGAGATCTTAAATGTCATGATGCGCAAAGTGAGCTTATCTGTCGAACATGAGGTAGCACTTTGGGGGAGATTAATTCGACTCTATAACCATCTGATTACGATGCGCGCAGGTCGGGTTAGAGTCGAACTCGAAGGCATTTTGGAGGAAACGAGTTCAACTCGAAAACCGACCTTCCCCGGTTGAAGATCAAATTCAATCATTGCTTTTAAAACTTTTTCACATGTTCTGCAGAAAATGCTTGGGAAGAAGAAATAACCACAACAAAGAAAGAAGGCTTAAATGTTAAAATGGTGTCTTGTGTTATAGCTATATGGCCAATGACTAAAATAGAGGGGCCATTTTAACATTTAAGCCAATAAAGAATATATACGTGCAAAAATCTCTTATTTGAATTGTGAAGGAGTTACGGCCAACTTCAAATGGCGAATTCATTCGTTGAGTCTCCAAAATTTCTCAAAATAAATTGACGATTAGAGTTGACAGGAACCATATATTTTAAGTACCTAACCAGACAGCCAAAAGGGTCAGCGAGATGCATCAGTTAAGTCACCATCATCCACCTTGAGCCATTCTTAATGTACACCTTGGGTAGCATTTCCAGTACTAGCAGCCACCGGCTCATCGTGGTCTGAGGCAACTTCTGGTTCTATCCCCTGGGATGAAGAGCCGTCAGTTTTCTCATTATCAGAAGCATCAGAATCTGGTTCTAACTTGAGAGAATCCAATGAAAGAGCAGCACCGGTAACAGCAGGTTCGGAAGCAGCCAAAGAAGGGTTTCCTCTCGTCCACATTGTGGGCATCTTCGTGTCATCCTCTTTCATCCTTTCGGCGTATTTATTTATATCAAAACCACAAGTATCGTTTCCCCCGAATGCAGCCTCCAGTTTATTCATATCAAACAGATCCTCCATTATCTTCTTGGTGTTAACATCATCCGAGTAAACAAACCTGACTTTGTTGTAAGTCTTTGGCTCTAGAAAAGGCTTTACCATCTGTAACAAAGAAAGACATTATCCGCATCGTAAGAACCTAGCTGATACATTTTGGCTCTAGATTTCACCTAAATAATGGAAATCTACAAGCACCAAGTGACTAGGATCCTCTCTATTTGGAACATTTCTATACCGGGAAAAGGGAACGGCCAGCTCCTTGGAAATTGGAATGGCCCAAGATAAAAAGAAACAGGTTATTATTATTAATTTATCAGGCTAAAACTTTGGCACTCTTCCGGCTCCCAAAGTTAGGTGGTTATTGTACTATATTCCCAAAACAAGACATCATCTATGACAAGGACCAAAGCTGTATAACGGCACACCAATACTGTTACAGCTTCATATGATGATCCTCTAGGAGTATAGATGTAGCGAAAAAGTTAAAACAAGAGGAATAAAAAGCATCAAAAGGACTTACCGAAAAGAATGGTTCAAAAAACTTGGGTGGATTGTACAGTATTGCAAGACCTAGGCGTTCTGGATAACGGTTTTGTAAAACATGTGCAGTTTCCCGTGTCAACTTCACTGAAATATGTGACAGATTGAAACCTTCAAAGTCTATCATCCAAACCATCTGTTCCTGACCTGGCGGAAGATTTAAAACGGCATTCTCCATGCAATATACCAAATATTTAATCTGTCCCTTCGTTGACTTTGAGTTCTGCAATAAAAATACAAAAAGTTAACAAGGAAAATTGGTTTTCTCCTGAAACTTGGATCTCTAGAGCATTAAATGTGCCTACAAAACAGCAGATCCCATAAACAGGATTTCAGCAAGATGAATATAGGCAATGATTTTGGCAATAATGATGCAGTCAAAATGCTTATTATTGCAACATCAAACTAGTTCTTTTTGCAAAAGGTATCTGCTTCAATACATGATTTTTTTTTTTTTTTTTTTTTTTTTTTTTTTTATTTTAGGTGAGATGACTTAAGTTGACGAGTACAGACAGTTTTACAGCAGGATAAGATTCCAGATGTAGCTTCTGCGAGACCAGCAACATATTCTAAACTTCCAGATGTAGCTTCTGCGAGACCAGCAACATATTCTAAACTAAAATTGTAGCACAACTTCTAAAATACACAATATTCATGGAGGTATCAGAAGAGTTTCAAAGATAAAACCTGACAACGTGGTCTCATAACGAGAACTGGTCTCCCTTGCTTGTCAAAATAATTCGATCTGTAAATCTTCCCTGTTTCTGCTTCACGAGCTACCTCTTTCTATATTTGCAATGAAACGATGAATTCGTAAGAACATCCTCTTCAGTGTAACCACATACTGCAAGAATTTGAACTGGTCTACAACCTCAACCACAAGAACTATACTTGACTATTGTAGGACCTGGGTTTGAAGTAGTTTATAGCAATGCTGGAGTCTAATAATTGGTCTATTAATTCTTTCCAGTTACATGATACGTGGGGTTGGATTCAGAAAGGACTGCTGATGAGCCTAGGATGAACTATTACAAAATACAGAGATGTCAACTGGCCCTTGTTGCATGCATTGAACGAGAACCAAATAAGCCAGCTCAGGATGCATTGCAGAACAAAGATAAAAACCTTATGTTTGCATGAGGGACTGTCAAGTGCCAAGGAAATTTAGACTCAACTGTTAAAAACACACTACATGGACACCGCCCTTGAACTACTCAAGCACTACAAAACTACTAATAAAACCCTATAAATGCACTCCAAAGACAATAAACAAGGGACTTTCAAAATAACAACCGGAAAGGTGTCATCTGAAATTTCTCTCAAACGTATTGCATCTAGTCAATTTCAAGTTCCTCTATCTAATTTTTGTAGTGCATTCCTAATAAATTTAGCCTGAATTTCATGGAACTTTAAATTCCCACGTCCAAACATAGGGTCAAGGAACAACCTGCAGAATATTATCAGGCTTCATTTGACAACTAATCAGAGCTGCTAATATTAAGGGGTGATAGATCCTGTTCTAAGAATAATGAAAAGGTACAATCTGGATGAATTATGACTATAAGGCTATGAACGAAGCGTACCCAAGGAATCTCTTCTGGTTTGTATTCTGACCTCCACTTTAAAGTATCTTTTAACATTTTAGTTGACTTCTTGACATTCCAATTTCTCGCCCTTAGATACCTTGAGATGGAGGCATCAGAACAATAGATGGACAACTTATCAGGCAATGTTCCTATCAGCTTTTTTACTTCGTTAATCTGCAAACATGAAGAGTGTTGTAGGGTATGTAAATTTTCTCCCCACAATAATGGTAGAAGCATCATGCCCTGACTTACAGGACTCACACAAATTAAAGAAAGCACGTATAGAATGCTATAAGGAGAACTTTTACCGGAGATACCTTTGCCTGCTGCTCTTCACATGATAATATCTTCTCAGAGCCATTTGAAGGGGATTTCTTTATTCCCGCACTCATAGTTTTCAGAGAAGACTTGCAAAATCAACAATAAAGACTCTGTAAGTACTAGTGTTATGTACCTATTTCAGTCTCCCCTCCCCAATTCTTTAACATATAAATAAACGTGCAAGATCTGTAAAAAAAAGCATGTTCTCTATCCTATAAATAGCAAAACGAAGGATGTGTAGAATAAATTTATTCTTAGTTGATCACTATGGAAACTAGCATACGGCATTCATGATTTAGATAAAACCTTTTTATACTGTTGTTCAAAAATGTCAACTCAATTAATGGGCTTAATTCTTTTTTGTTAAGCTACGAAATACTTGATTAAGCAATCATGCTTAGAGAACGAGCTATCAAAACAATTAAACAGATACTTAAGAAAACAAAACAAAAGGCATGCTTCAAGAATGACTAGCACATCTCACATGTATCCATTCTAACAGAAATTCGCCATGTACGAGTTCTAACTTATTTATATTACATTTTAGTTGTCAGAAGGTATATAGATTTTTACAAGCTAGTTACATCAATCCCTCAATCATTTTTAGAGGGGTGAAATTACTGATCCAAGTGCTCCATAAAGTTTTAATTTTGTCAGGAGGTATTACATCCTACAAGTACTATATAAATGTTTCCGTTTTGTCAGGAGGTGTGTTACATCTGTCATGTTTTTCAATTCGTTTCCTCGTATAGGGAAATTTTATTTCAAGTACCTATTTATAAAATCTTAATAGAGTCAAGGACCGCATTAGGCTCTCCAGTTATCAGATTTACAAATCACTCCGAACGTTCCTGAGAGTTCCTTTCTAATTCTTTAAAAACAAAACTTATGGTAGATTGCAACAAGATTACATCACTTCACTTATCATGGACCTTTTATTGGCTGAAAGAGCAACAAAATTCCTTGGATTTGTTCTCCCGAGATTATCCTCTATTTCCCACCTTTGCATAAACACATGGGATCGTAAGACCAAATTCCTATAGACTGCCTTAACTTCGTCTCCTTTTTGGAACAAACGTTTTATTGTCTGCAAAACTAAAGGAACCTCTGTCATTTGACATTTCTGCGATTCAACCAATAATGGTAGTCCCTAATTCAATCCTATAACCTTTCCCTTGAAAGGAATACACTTGACATATTATTATTGAGGGAGAAATTCCCCAAGAAATGCATGCAATCACTACTAACAAGATAATTATGCTGACATTCCTATACAAACCAGTAACAACATATGCAAACCCTCACTATTACCAGGGGAGCCCTAAGGCCACTAACAACTGTTTGCCTGACCGTTCCCCGAAATCTTACTCAAAACCTCCTCTCTAAATCAAAACTCTCGTGTAAAAATCTATGTGTCCACGAAATCAGACTTGAAATGCAATTGTTCGCAACTATCCAGCCGTTCAAATTGTATCGGTCTCATCCAAATTATTACTCTATCTACTCAACCAATCAACTTAATAAACCTTTCCGTTAATTTACAAGACAACATTGGAATCACCACTCTCCTCACAGTAGCATCCAAAAACCTAACCAGAATGTTTCGATCGACATTCAACCAACACCGAAACAAATGGGAAATCTGCTGACACAAAATACCGTGTGGGTTTTCCTACTGTGTTCTTGTCAATTATTTCAGTAAATTACACATAAAATAATTCATAAAACAATAAAAAATCAATCATGGGTTATCTCCATATACAACTAAATATTACAAAACCGCATTTTAATATTTAATCAACACAAGCATGCAACCCAACACACCAAATCACAAACATCATGGGTAAAGAAAAACAACCTTTACAGGTACTAGGAATGCAAATCGAAACCGACCCACAAAAATTAGGGGCATAAATCTAGGAAACAAAAGACAAGATCCCACCTTGACCAAACAGATTGAGGAATTTTGGGGGAGCTTCTCAGGAAGCGGTGAGATAAACTAGTATTCAGGAGCTCCTCAGCTGTCCCAAACCATAGAAAGGGTCAACTGTGAACACAAGAAAGAATTACTGTGTTAAAAACAGAGAGAGAAAGAGGGAGAGAGAAGGCGGAGATGCGGTCGGTTTGGATTTTATTTGAAGAATAGTATTTGGATCGAATCAGGGGGTGACGCTGGAATCTGGTTGAATGTCCAAAAGCACGTGCTTTTTTAAACAGTAATATTAATGTTGTGGCTTGGGTTTTAAGGACACAGCTGGTCTGCTCTGGATTTTCATTGCCTTAACCCATTTGTCATTTACTTACGTGTGGATCGCATCAGACTGTTTATTGCTTAAAAGTCGGATTGCCCAGACTCATTCAATTTGAAGCACTACATATTGGTAGGTGTGACGTTTACACAAACGCTGATGCTAGGGAAATCATATTTTTGTACCGAAAAATGTTTGTTTGGATATTTTTTAGTAAGGTTCCGCAAAATGTTATTTACCTTATTTAGGTAGACCAAAATACTGTACTGAAAATATTTGCATTATTTCTCTAATATGCGAGACTTACTTCTATTGATTGGGTATGTAACTCTATTAAAGAGGTTGCATAATATAGCCTCCCTATCATTGTGTACCACTAGCTACTTAGTACAATAGTATAATAGTATTTCTCTTCACTTGTAAGTGAGATGTCTTAGATTGATCCTCGCTAACAGCAAATTTGAATCACATTATTGTTAACCCGTTATAAGGCTAAGGCTAAACCTACCCCCTTAAACGTAGATAATATTTTTTGCTCAAAAAAAAAAAAAAAAAAAAAGAAAACATTGTGTACTGCCAGCTGCTTAGGACAATAGTCTATTAGTAATATTATTCTTCACTTATAAGTAAGGTTTTAGGTTTGATTCTCGACAAAAACAAATTTGAACCCCATTATCGTTAACCCATTGTAAGGCCTAACCTACTTCCTACCCTCTTAATGTCGATAATGTTGTTTGTTAAAAATAAATAAATAAATAAAAACATTGTGTGCCCCTCTATAGAAGAGGAAGCGTCTACCAATACTATTGGAGACATTTATAATATTGTACAAATAAATATGATCTTTATGATAGAGTAATGTTAAAAAGACCGCATCATTTTTCAATTAAAGTCGAGAAACAAAGAAAACAACTAATTCGCTCTTAGTCTGTAGTACTGCTTTCCTAATGTTAAAATACGTTCCAAGTTCAAATCCCCCTCTCCATGTCGATTCCGAAAATGAGAAATGGAACCAAAATTCAAATGAGTGCTTCATCATTGCCAAGGTGGTCTTTGGACAGAAATGCAAAGGAAACTGCAAGGTAAAAGCATAAAGCATAATTTATATTTGATTCCACAGCTGAAAGATGTTATGTACATGTTAGTTGACACTACAAATTGATTGTTTCTCTTCCTAATACAATTTCTGTACTTCCACCATTTCTATACAGAAGATTGTAGTAAATGCCACCTTTTGGCATGTATGTATGTCACTAACCTTCAAACTACAGGAGGACAAAGCAACATATTCTTCCCTAACCAGACCACAACCTTACATCCGCCTTTCATCTACTATTTGGTCACCGTGCATTTTGCGCGTCCTAAAATGTACATAGCTTCATTTAACTCTTGTCACGGCGCCAAAGAAGGAGGAGTCGGTGAGTATGCTTGAGAGAGAACAGAGCTATTGAGTCATCCAGAAGCTTTCCTCTTTATATCTCTGCAACTGAAGTCATCAACTCAATCAAAACACGAGCGATTTGATTCCTGAGTTATTTGATATTCAATACAAAATATGAAAAGGAAAACTACAGAGCTATAGAGCATTACTCAAATTACAAATCCATGTTTCAGGCTTTCAGCACATCAAATGATTTTTCTCATCTTACCTCTGAAGATTGTAAGGTGGTGGATCGTCTGCAAAAGCAACTTTATGCACAGGCCGACAGCCCCTGCCAAGCCCCCCTTACTGCCAAACTCCTCAGGTAACTGAAAGCATATGCCGACACAAAGTTCGGCCTTTCAGATTTATGGCATCCATTTCAGAGATCAGCACAGGAAGCTAGTGCTCCAGGAGCCTTCTGGCAGACAAAAGAGCAAGAATTGCACTATTGGAAAAATAAAGAATGCCAAAAAGCTCCAATGACGCAAACATAGGATTCAGAACAAACAATCGATAGCTAGATGTCTCTCCTTCCAATAACCCCAGCAGGACCATGCTTCTTCTGTATGCCATACTGCCAGGCATCTCTAGATTTATCACCTGATTGATCAAAGTCGTCCAAGGAATTCTCAAATGGAGGTTTCATAGGCGGGTAACTTCCGTTCCTAGAAAGTACTGATGGACCCAACTTCTCGTCATCTTCTGCTGGTGTTCCTGACCTGGATTCCATGTGCATGTCCATTGATCTATGCCTTGGTCCAGCAGACCTGAAACCCCTCATATTAGAAGGCTTTCCTGGTAATTGAGCGTAAGAAGGTACCCTTGGTACCCGAAATTCTTTGGGAAGAGTCTCTATGTCCATAAAACAGTTCCTGGCTTTGGCATCAGTAATCAATGCAGCCCAGTCGTCACACTGCATTAAGGCACTTGCATTCCCCATGACCTGTTAAAAGATTCATACTGATATTAGAAATGCAAACTACGTGCAGGTAGATGGTGCAAACTTGTGTGTAATTACTATAAAAAAAAAATGATAAAATAGAAGAAATCCATACCCAAAGAGCCCTTCTTGCACGAGTAAGAGCTACATTCATACGGCGGATGTCTGCAACAAAACCAACACCATGAGTTGAAGCACGCACACAGGACATGATAATCACATCACGCTCTTGGCCTTGGAAAGCATCTACGGTGTTAATATATATATCCTTCCCTTCTTCTGAATTTAAAATATCCTCAAACTCACGTTGGAGGCATTTGAGTTGCAGTTTATATGGTGTGATTATGCCAACAGAAACTTTCCCCAACCCCAACGCTTTCAAGGACTTCTGAAGATGCTCATACAAACGAACACAAAACTGAGCTTCGTGTATGTTCTGATAAGAGACAGATCCCCCTCTGTGGGATTCCCGCCCATGGGAAATGTCAAAAAATACGTAAGGTCTAAGTAAAGGGTCCTTGTGGTAGGTTTCATCGGGTAAATTAGCAACACTTTCACTGTCAGTAAGGCGTCCTTGGTAGAAGTACTTTGAAGGAAAATCACGTATTTGAGGGTGCATCCTATACTGCACAGACAACAACATTGTTGGACATTTTGCTTGTTGGAATCTTTCGAACAGACTTCTACTGTATAACAAGGTTCCAGCAGCCTTGCTAATAACTGTGGCAGGAAGCTGCTGGGGATCCCCAACAAGAACACATCGTGCAGCACCAAGAGAAAGGGGCGGAAGAACTCCCACTTCACTGGCTTGGGCTGCCTCATCAATCACAACCATATCAAACCCATGAGAAAGACGTGAAAACAGCTTGCGACCACTGCTTGAGACAGTAGTGAAAACAATCTCAGCCTCATTGGCAAAACTAGCCTCAAGATTAGCTCGAGCTTCTTCCAAGTTGAAATTGCCACCAGCACGAAACTTGCTATCTAAAATAAACAGGCGAGACAGCTCGACTAGAGTTTTATCCCTGCTTTCAACCACAGCAGCAAGATTCTGCAGCAATTCATCTCGACTCTGGTCCCGAGCCACCAAAACATCAGGATCAACACCAACCGATCCTTGTGAACGGACAGCAGCAGCTGCAACAGTGAGTTCTCTTTGAAGATGCGATATCTGCACAGATAAATGCGCTTCACGAAGTCTCAACTGATGCATCCACCCTAAAACTTCCTCACGATTCTTGACCAGAAGCTGTTCAGTTCTCCGCTCAACAGATACTGCCTGGGCAGCACGTGTCTGTGAGTCAACACCTACTCGGGCTACATCAGGCCGATAAACTTTCATCTCACCATCAATGAATCCCCGGTCAAGAACACGGGCAAGAAGCTCATCAGTTGCAGCATTAGAAGGGGCGCAAACTAACATTCTAGGCTTTGGACAGAGCTTGGGTAGTGTTCTAAGGAGATTCTGGTCCATGTTCTGAAGAACCTCATCTATTGATCCCATAGCAACATTATCAACATTGCTCTCACTATTTTGCTTATAGCTTTCAGGTGCTAGTTTCTTAAGCAAAGAAGTGTAGTACTGCTGATACTGAACCAGATGGATGACGTTTAGCATTCCCCAGACTGTGTGTGTCTTACCAGTTCCAGGAGGTCCTTGAACAAGTGTAAAAGGCCATGGATCTTGCCTCTTTCCACCACTTGTACCAGCAGCTGTGTGCATTGCAGCCCATTGGATTGCTGATAGCTGGGGTCCATTAAAGGTCCTATGCAAATGATCAACGAAATTCGGTGTGAAGCATTCCGGCATAGCAGGGGACTGCTGCTCGTATTTTGGAAAGTGTTCAGGACTGGGCCGAAGAATTGCTGCTTGCATCTGTTAAATTGTTCACTCAAATTATTATTTGCACAAAAAACCAGAATATATAGTCATTGCTGATGCAAAAATTTGTCACCTGCATATTTAGACGACGAAATGCATGCAGTGCAACATACTCTCGCTGGGTGGTTGCTAGAGAACCAAGAACAGTTAAATACCAAATTCCTTTGGGCTGTAACTTTCTTAGAACATGATCATCATCAACCAAGCTGGAAAAGTAATATCAAAAGGAGGGAGAGAAAGGAAAAAAATGTAAGCATATTTGCTACAAAAATATAAAAGGAAATCAAACTAATAATCCAAAATCATAGAAAAACAAATAGACTACCCATTAGAATCATCCCCAACATAAAAATGAAGGATCGCTCCTGGGGGATCACGAGTATCGATGGGCACATGTCGCCGGACAGTACCAGCCACACGCCCAGTGATTTCAGGCTCCTCGTCACCCTCAGCTGAAGAATTGTTCCTTTTGGATCTGACTGCTTGACATAAAAAGAGTAGATGTAAGTAACATATCAAAAGAACTAATATCGAATGCAATAATTTGACAGAAATGTATTCACATATCAGACCTGATCCAGGCCGGGGAGTTGAAAGAATTGCAACATCACCCTCCTTAAATGTCCACTTGCATTCACTTACTGGAAGGACTATTACATCATACCACCCTATGCCACAAAAAGTTACACCTCAGTCGGTTGACAGAACCACGAAAAAACACAGGTACT